GGGAAGGGTCTGGAGCACAAGTGTGATGAGGAGCAGCTGAGGGAACTGGGGTTGTTTAGCCTGGAGAAAAGGAGGCTGAGGGGAGACCTTCTTGCTCTCTACAACTACCTGGAGGAGGGTGTAGAGAGGTGGGGGTGGGTCTGTTCAACCAAGTAACAACTGACAGGACAAGAGGAAATGGCCTCAAGTTGTGCCAAGGGCAGTTGAGATTGGATGTGAGGAAAAAATTCTTTTCTTAAAGGGTTCTCAGGCATTGGAAGGGGTTGCCCAGGGCAGTGGTGGAGTCCCCATCCCTGGAGGGATTGAAGAGTCATGTAGACATAGTGCTGAAGGACATGGTTTAGTCGGGGACTTGTCAGTGTGAGGTTAAGGATTGGACTTGATGATCTTAAAGGTCTCTTCCAATCAAGGCAATTCTGTGTGATTCTGTGAAAACCACTGGGTTACATGATGTTCCGTTTCTTGCGATACACTGTAAGTGTGTACTATGACATTGCCCCAGCAGCATCCTCCCAGCTGACTGATCCCGGAGTACCTGAGAATATTTCCATTTCTGACACTTGATGCTGGCTGGTTTAGGTAGAGATGGCACAATCCTCTCCAGGCGACTGAGAATTAACTGCTGCACCTCTGCAGGGTCTGAATCCAGGTGCTCACTTCCAAATGTCACAGTTGTGTGAACTACAACTGAGGGCCCAATTTCAGGAGACTCTAAAATAAAGGAGAGAGATGCTTTTGAAAGTTTACTTATTAATACTTGCCTTCCCTGCATGCTGACAATTATGCCTCTAGCCTAGGAGTCAATAAGAATGAAAATATCCATGGCGCCACCCTGTTCTTCCAGCTGGAAAAAACACAAGGAGTAAAAACACAAGTTGTTCACAAGGAGTACAGTGAAGAAATCCAGGCTTTTTGTAATATTTGTTATGGTTTTCCCATTCCAATGACTCTATCTCCATACGTCTCCTAGAGGAACCTCAAGGCATTTCCACAGCCCCTAAGTAGCAGCTGGAAGGGCTAACTCTTGTCCTTTTTCCTCCTAGACATTTCAACAGGTTCTACAGGGAGAGCAACCACCTGGTGACTGCGCCAAACTGGCAAAAGAGAACAAGAAGTAGAAACATGTAAAACTGCTTTGTAGGAATTTTTCCAGCCAGGTCTGCAGTAACAATTAGTGCCGCTATAACTGCAGGGCACTCGGAGGCACATGGGCTCAGCCACCCACCTGCAAGGTCTGGCTTGAGTGGTGGTTGTGGAGGTAAGGCTTCCTAAAGGGCTACACTTGCAGCTGGGACTTGTGTTATCACTGGCAACGGTAAAGGCAAAACCCTTTACTGAAGGCTGAAACTCACCTAGCTATGTGGTAAAATTAAGGCATTGGATGATGCACCTTTTTTATTTTGGATGGAGGATTATTCTTGGAAATTGAATAGCTCTGCTGCTGCTCACAGGGATCAATCCCCAGAGGCACGGTGTTCCGCTTATGGCCAAAGGGCAGGGCAGTTCGAACTAGATGGTCCCTTCCAACCCAAACCATTCTATGATTCTATGAAGTCCTTCTGAGCACTGCAAGTGCACACTAGGTGTAAAACAAACAAATTGCAGTCGCGGCCACTTCAAGCCTGATGCACACAAGCTACCAAACTGACAATGGCGTGGCTTTGCCAACAAGCCACCTTCTCTGAACAGCCAGAGGAGCGTAGGCAGCCGGGTCTCCACAGCCAATTTGCTTATCCACCTATATCAGATTAATTTATATTCTTCCTACCCTGTGCATTTGAAACATATATCCCCTTAAGGGGACAATCTCTACAACAGAGAAATATCAAAGACTTGAACATGAAGTCATCACAAGATAGAAATTATCTTTAAGGTAAAGGAGAAAAAAAGAAGAGTGTTTGCTGCATTATGGTAAAAAACATCTGCTCCCTCTATAACTGTTTGCATATTTGCCATGCAACAGTATTTACCTAATTGAAAGGCTAGAATAAAACCAATAGGCTACATCCATGGAGGGGGAGAAGGGGAGCAGAAGACAGAGCAGGTTAGCTTGAAAAATCAGCACTTCCTTTTGGCTTGCACAGGTGAACTCAGCTTAAATTTCTGCTGCTCTAGCAACTTCCAGAAAAATGATGAGTGGTTGACTATATGCACATTTTGGGGAATGTAAACCAATACAATTTCTGTCCTCGGGCAAATATATGCAAGTGAGCAAAGCTCAAAAAAAGAGTTTGTCCCTTAAAAATCAACCAGGCTGCAGTGACAGGGGAGGAACTGAAGGCAGCTCAAGTGCTGATGTTCATCCCAGCAGACTTAGAAATGGCCAAACTTCATTACAGCTAGGGCTGGTTGTAGGTGTTCTACAGCAAGGGACTTCAATCCCCGTCAGCATGTTGGCTTGTCATCTTACAGACTTGGTCTACACAGCCAACAACCAGTGGCCAGAGAATTTGCCTAGAATAGGGGATTTTCAGACTCAGTGATTTCCCTGTGCCAAGGCATGATGAGGACCCAGCAGATCCTTGTGTGAGTTGTTCCTGCTGGGGCTGTTCTGCTTCAAATGAGCAGGATGCATTTGCTGGAGCAAGGACACAACCTGGGTTCTGCTATATTTCAGCTGAGAGCTCAAACTCACTGAGCTGGTTGTTAAATTAAGTGATTCCCTCTCACTCCATAAACCATAAGTTCCCTCTTTTGGAAGCAGAAAGCCTCTTCTGACTAAAAATTTGTTTGAATTAGCACATTCCTAGAAGAATACTTTAGTTTCAGCAAATTAGCTTTTTATGACCAAGGAATCCACAAAAAAAGAGGCAGTTGAACACTTTCTGACCAGTTAGGTACCAGGCTTGATAGAAATCTTTATCTCTGCTGGGTCGGTGAAGAGATCTCCAGCTCCAGCTCCTCCAGCTGGAGATCTTCTTTGAGAAGATGACAAATTCCAGCTTTCCAAAGGCAATAAAGTATCTTTCTCTGATAAGCTTTCTGTCCTGGGCTGATCACTTCAGAACACTCTGTTGAGGCACAGCAGTACCAAGTCCTAGCACCCACAGCAAGCATGAAAACAATGGCCTTAACTTCAGTCAGAAGGATCCCTTCACTGAGTCTCTTTCTTGGGTGGGTCAGCTCAGCCAACCCTTGCTCTCGAGAACTGGGAAAATATGGCAAAAAGGGTGGGAAGATGGTTTCGTGGTTGTGATAAGGAATGCACCCTGACAAGCCACATCTGAAGGCACCAAGCCATGGTGCTGCCTTTTCTTATAGTTCTCTTTTTCCAAGTAAGGCACTCCTAATCAGAGAATACCACTCACTTTGCTTCCTGGTTGGGCTCACAAGCTCTGTTTTCAGCATGTACTAGAGCTCTTTTTCTGGTGATTTCCTGAAGTGTCCAGAAACTTTGAGATTGTTTCCTATTTTAATCTGAGGTACAGATTTTGCTCTCTTGTGTCTTTGGCTTGAAAGCAAGCCCTAACCATTGGGGATGGACAGGTCCAAAATATCCACCTGCCATGGATTTCGGATGAGGGCAAGGCAGATCTGGGGACTAAGACTGTGGAGTGAAAAAAGGAACACTCTTGTCTAGAAGTAGAGGCTTAGCCAAAGAGGCCATCTTCTTCCCTGAGCTCTGGTGAATTGATTGCCTCAGTCTAACATGAACCTCAGAGTCATCTTCCTGAGATTCCTCCTGCCACCCCCAAGCTTGGTTTCACAGGCTAGCACAGGACATATCTCTGTTTGCATCAGCTTTTCCAACTGATGGAAAAATGTCAGAAACACTACTCAGTCTCTCCTTCCCAATTTTGGGTAGAAAACAGGTATTCTGATGTCTCTATATAGAGACTGTCAGGGACAGAAGACCAAGTAGGGAAGCCTATTATTCCTTGGGATTTATTATAGTGTACATGGTATTTTGGCAAATTCTTCCACATCAACTTGGCAAAAAGGCTCATTAAAAGACGTCTAAGCATTTTAATAAAATAAATATTCATTGCTGTCAGTGACTTGTTATAGCCAATGATTCTTGGACAAGGCTGCCTTCTTTCAAATCTCTCATCTCTTCCATAGTACGTACAAAACAAATTTCAAGAACAGGCAGTTCGTTGAGTTTTTAATTCCTCATTTGAGCTACTGATAGCTTGGAGAGCTTCCAGAGGCCACTGAGTCATAGCCTTCCAGTACTGAAATATGCTGCCTGCGAGGATCAAGTTTAGCCTTAAGCCCTTTTATTTCTTCTGCAAAAATACTGGCTAAGAGAGGAATTTAAAATACTTTTTTTTTTCCCTGAAAGCAATATGGGGATCTCAGCCTTGATGCACCAGGTATGAATGACTGTTCAGCTGTTGCAGGAGTAAAACTATCATTTCCTTCCCAACGTGTTTAGACCAGGCTGCAACAGCTAGCTTAAAAATGTGGGCTTCTGACAGGGCTCCTCATGAGATTCTAATTTCCTTTATTTGTGGCAAGGATGCAAGCTGTCTATCGCCATGCTAGCAGATGACAAAGTAGCATGGGAGATGTGGCAAGCCTGGGAACATTCGGCAATGCAAGGGGCAATGATCTGAGGGTGAATGAAAGGAGCACAAAAGCTTTCATCTGCTCCCTGTTCTCCCCCCATCTCTTCCCAGCCACACAGCAATTAATCCAGTGAGCTGATGCGGTGGAAGGTGTAAGACGCCGGGTAGATCAGAGCTAGAATGAGATGGCTGTAGCTCATACCTACTTAAGGAGAAAGGAACCACTCCGCCAGTGTTTGCAGCGTCCTTGGCACCCACAGTTGCTGAGGGACCCCACTGAAACCCTACAAGCAGCGAGCTTGCACATGGCTCTCCTTCCTTTGTCCAGTCCGCACTGCATCGCCACAGTGGTGATGTCGGCTGCAGGGGCTGGAGGCCTGTCCCCATCCCCTCTGGTCTCCCTCCGTTGACTTGCACCAGGAGGAAAGTGGTTTTTTTGTGCAGAGACCCTGATGAGGCTGTGGGCAGAGAGGGAAGCGCCGGCATCATCTGGTGCAGCGACAGTAGTTTGGCAGATGCAGTTTGTGCCCAAGGTTCAGATTCTCTCTTCCCCAAGGGCACAGAGAAGATGCAATACTATAACTACAGGTGTCATTTGCTCCTGTGTTAAGTTTTCCTCATTTTACTGTGAATTTCTTTTGCTCTGCTGCATTGCACAAGACTAACACAGGCAGAGAGAAGATGCAAAGTGATGAATGTGAGGATAAACACATTCCATTCAAGACTCACTTTGCTTCCATGTAAACAGAAAAGAACTGTGCAATCTCCGGCATATCATCCCATCCAGCCCAGCATCCCACCCATGATGGGAAGATGTCGCAGGAGCTGCTACATCCCTGCTTGGCCTGGCAGCAGCAGCTGGGGCTGTGTGGACCCTGTACACTATGGAGCAGCTGGCTCATGGGGATGGGAAGAGTGGCAGAGCCAGGCTCTGATGTAGGTCCCAGATTTAACACAGCACTCTCCTTGGGATGTCTTGGCCACCACCACTACCTATATGCAGTCATTCTGAACAGTCTACAAAGCTGAGTAGAGTAGCAGGGATGAACAAATCCCAGCCTTTTTGCCTCAAAGTATGACGTTCCACCACACCCACAGACAAGTCTAGTCCACAAAGACCTTATGGGAGATGCTGAAGCACTTCAGACCAAAGTCTGGCTGCACTGTCAGTCTGATCAGCAGTGTCTACCTCTCTTAGTG